CTGCACCGGCGACCGCAGCCCCGACCCCCGCCGGAAGGGCCATGGCCAGGAAGGATCGTACCAATCTTACCTCGCAGGGAGGCCCGGGCTACGAGCCGGGCGGGACCCACAGCCATGGGCGAACTTCCGGGCTCCCGCGCCGCCGCCGGAACCAAAGTCGTGGGGCGGACGGACTTCCGGGATCCGGGCCGCCGGGGCGCCGCCGCCGGAAACCCGCTGCCGTCGCGCTGTCGTGCGGGGTTGGCCTCGCTCCTGCCCGCGCGGTCCCCTCGGCGTTGCTGCAGGTAGACAGGGACTCGGTGGCGTCTCAGCGGTTTAGGGCTTGAGTTTCTGTCGTCCCTTTTCTGGGCCGGAGGCATTTTAGAAAATAATTGGGGCAGGAAGCCGCCCAGTGGACAGGCTGTGCGTTTTACCATTTCCCCTGCGTACTTAAACGATGTGTGGCAAGTTCCAACGGAAAAGCTTCATCTTTTTCTCAAATGTACGCTCTCTTTTGGTGCTATTGTTATTTTTTAATTTTAATCGTTTATTGCTCATAGAGGGAAATACAGTTGATTTTTATATACTGACGTTGTTTCCATTGACCTTGCTAACTTCATTTATTCTAGCAGATATTCCTGCCATTCCTGGGGATCTTCAATGTAAGCAATGTCAGTTTGCCCCATTTTTTGGTGGCAATAACTTTAACTTCAGTCATGTGGTAAGGTGGCGTCCACTAGGTTGTTTATTTATTACCAGTATGAACTCCTGAATTTTTATTTTATTCAGCAAAAATTCATGAATTTCTTTATTCAGAATTATTTATTTATTAGCCACTAGGTTACTTACTTATTACTAGTATGAATTCATTAATTTTAATTTTGTTCTTTTTATTTTACTTACATATTTTATTACCCTTTTTTATATTTTAAATGAAACATGTTAAAATACTTACATTTCAGTGGGTCATCTGGGGCCCCCAGCTTTAGAGCCACCTCTGATCCTTGTGATATTGTGAGTCTGCCCTCCTATGGAACGCAGAACGTGATTTCCTTCTTGTGTCTCCCTCCCCTCAGATTTTGGGGAGGAGGGAAGATGTGCATACACTAAGAAAAGTTGTACAAATCACTTAAACTCTGAATCTTCCTTACTATGAAGTTGTGAAGGATGAGAGTTGACACTGCCCACCTCGTAGCATTGTGGTGGGAAGAAGTAAGAGAGGGTGTGTGCAGCTCGGTGGACACTGGCCTGCTTCACTGTATTAGTGTGATTTGTCTAATAAAGCCAAAACAATGGAGGAAAATAGTACTAGTTCAAAATGTCTGTGCTCAGTTCATTTCTTTTACATCACTTCTGAAATAAGACCCATTGACCCATCTCTCTGGCCAGGTTGAAAGGTGACTGGACAAAAAAGGGGCCACATACTAAACCTAAAAGCTCAGGGGAGGCCTGTATGGCGGGCCTTACAAACTCAGGAGAACTAAAGTAGCCACAAAGGATGGTCTAAAATTAAAACTTCCTAACTAAAAGTGAGTCATGACAGGTATTCGTATCCTAGGCTGGCATCTTCCTCAACAAAGGTCAATCTTTACCTTAACTGAGCCTGTCAGTTGTCTTTTCGCATCTAAGATTACATACCTTTGGAATGTCAGAGTAATCCCCTTTTCTCCAGACTCCTCAGGGCACAATCTTCCACCAGAGCATGAGACCACAGAACCCCTCCTTATTATCTTCTTGCCCAAACACCATCTCTATGGACTGTAAGTGTTCATTGTTAACTATCCTATACCCACCAATGTAAAAGTATGTCTCCCCATTTTACTCTTTATCCAGTCTCAGCGATTTCCCTGCTTTGCTTTCTCCCATCTCCCTGTAACCCCCCCCCCCATATGTCTCCTCCTTTGATTGTAATGTATAAAATAAGCTACAAACTGCCGTTCTCCAAAGCATTTTCTCAACCTGTTGAGATTTTGCTTCCCCGCAATCGTCATCAGTTTGGCTCAAATTCATAAAAATTTCTACAGGCTTGGACATTTCTTATGTCAACATGACCTTAACCACCTTCCACACTGTCTTCCCCAGTGCTGTTGGTCTGCAGGCTGCTGTGCTCATCAAACCAGGCTAAGAAATAGATCCAAGAAAAATCTATTGGAACCCAGATCTTTTACTGCTCAGAAGGTGAAATAGCACATTGGATAATATTACAGACGACCTATAAATATGTTTGTTAGTATTTACCCACAAAACCTGAAAAATAGTTAAAGCTGGAATAATCTGTAATTTTTCAATAAAGCTTGAAGGGACTAGAAATAACAGTGCCAACTAGTCTGCGTTCCTACTAATTTAATTACCTCAATGGGAGCAGCTGCTTATCATGCCCACTGGTAACTGGGTTCTTCACTTTGAGAACTGTTCCTTGTGACATCTTATCTATTATTTTTAGCTTTGCATTGAAGAGGAATATGATTAAAGGATATAGCCAGAAGAAAAATAAAATTTATTTCCAGGATTAGTAAATTTTTATTTTCAGCCTTCAGGAAAAACCAGTTAGGTTCCAGTAGATTTAGTTTCTCTGGGAGCTTATTTGAAATGCACAAGTGCAAAGGTACGTATTATGCATAAAATTCTTTTATTTTCTAAGTAATTGCTGTGGTTCAGCATCTTTCTTAAAAACACATATAAAATAATCAATTAAAATACTGATGCTGTTATTGATCTGCTTGGCTATGAATAGAACACTTGTCTTTTCAATTAGCTCTTGCAGCATCAACATGAAGGCTGCAGAGGTGGTTCCAGGAGAGGCCACTGGTGAATGTTGAACTTCATCCTGTAATTTCACCACAATCTCTTTCCATATGTTAGTTTGATGGTGCCAGGGAACAAAATCTTTATCAAGATCTTAAACGATTAAAGCACTTCATGTATTTGTCACATTTGCAGGTGGTGCTGTGTTGAGTACCCTCATTCACTTTCTCCTACATAAAACTCAACAGCGTATTTCTCCAGCCTTTCTCCCTGCGTTTGCCAAAAGAAGCCACAAAGAACTGAGTCTTACATCATGGAATTCACCTGTTGATCCCTATTTAGGAAGATAGGCTGAGAGGAAGTAAAACATCTAGGGGTGTGTGTCTGTGTGTGTGATTGCATGTGTGTTCCCATGCACTTCTATATTATGTATCAACCACCAGTAAATGAAGCCATAGGCTCTTCTTGATAGCTCTAATCTCAAAGACTTCAGAAGGCCCTCATTTTCAATAAAAACAAAACACCTCTTATATAATCATAACATGAAGGAATAAACACTAGGTTGAGTCTAAATCCGAGAATTCTAATTCCTCAGCAATAGCTTTGAGAATTTGGAAGAGGCACCTAAACAGTTTTAGTTGTAGACTTTTCCTCACCCAATAATGAAATATTTGAATTAGATAAACTTTTGTGCTGCTGTCACCTCTAGAAATGTGTTTTTGATCTAGTAAATACATGTGTTTATAGTTTACCTTTTATTTAGTTTGCGATTCATATCTTATTTTAAAGTCCTCTAAGAGGAACAATAATGTTTAGGGGTTGTCAAAAATCTAGGATTTATGTAGCGCAGTTTCCAAATAATATTAAGACAAATGCCTCCCTCGTATATTTTTTTAAAAGTTTTTCTCCAAAATAAAATTAGAGAACCTGACCCCCCTGGAAAGATGGCAGATGATGTCCCCTGATTGGAAGACTTGGTGACTTCATTCCATGAATATCTTCTGTACCTACAACACACAGGTTCCATCAACCTCAGGAGTTCAGCCCCCTTAGCTAGATTAGTCCCTATTTCTCAGTTATTCTTGCAGGATTGTGTAAGAGAGGGAAAAAATATTTCCTCTGTCTTTTTAGGGTAGGGGCCTGTGAATTAGATTCACGAAAGACAGATTAACAGGAGAAAAAGTATATAAATTATATTTGTTAATATCTTAAATTTTTTCCCATTAGTGGAGGCCATAAATGAAGACCCAAAGAAGTAGTCCAGTTGAGGTGTTGGAGCTTGCATACCATTTCAACAAAAAGCAATAAATTCTGGAGAAGTGAGAAGACGAAGGTAACGAGGTTTTGGATTCTAAGGGTGGTAAATGGTGGGAAGATAAATATATAGGGGAACTAATGGAAGCTAAGGGTTATTTAGTAAGGTTTAATTTGTGCAGATGTATCTTTTAATAATTCTTTTAAAAAATGTTTTTTCTTTATTTTAGAGAAAGAGGAAGGGAGAGGGAGAGAGAGCGAAACATTGATCGGCTGCCCCCTGCACATACCCTACTGGGGATCAGGCCTGAAACCTGGGCATGTGCCCTGACTGGGAATGGAACCAGTGTCCTTTTGGTGCATGAGCCCACCCTCAACCACTGAGCAACACCGACCATGCATTGCAGATGTGTCTTGGCACCATCTCCATCTCCATTAATAAAGATTGTCCTTTCCTTTCTAGTATAAGAGTGGGGGACACCTGCATAAGGGAAATTTATTTCCTGCTTTTAGACAGCAGAAGAGCAGAGAGCTATTCCTGTTTCTGCTGTTTCTTCATTACCTTTGGCACAAAATACTCTTTATACTGAGGTGACATATTTTGGGATGGCATATTCTGATCCCCTTCAATTGTGTACTATATATGGAAACTGAGGCTTCAATAGTGCGGTCTACTAGAACTTTCTGTGACAATGGAAATGTTCTCTATCTTTGCTGTCTAATATGGTGGCCCCTAGCCACATCTGTCTGTCTACTGAGTACATGAAATGTGGCTAGTGCAACTCAGGGACTGAATTTTAAATTTTTATTTAACTTAAATTTAAATTGGCACATGTGCCTAGTGTCTACCATACTAGACAGTAGTGCTCTAGAATATTAGGAACCTAAACAAATGGAAAATATTAGGTTAGGTTTGAGCAAGAGAACTTTTACAATGTGCTGTATCATGCACTGTGCCCAATACTCCAGGCCACCTTTCATTCTAAGATGTTGCTTTTCAGTTTAATATTTAACTGGGGCGCCCTCTACTGTCTCTGGGATGACTGAGTTTTGAAATGTCCTTTATGTGAGCAACTTTGGATGACAATTGGTTCTATAAACTCTGCAAAGTAGCCCAGAACTAACCATGGTTATCAGATTGTTCCATAGTTAGGTTTGATCCTTAAAATCTTATTTAAGCAGAACTTCTGTTGAAGGTAAGTTAGAAATTAACCTGGAAGACAATTATGGAATTAAAGCTTGGTAATGAGAGGAACAGAAACCTTTCTGGATTCTTGATTTACTGTTGTTGCTGCTAAATATTTTCTTCCTGGAAGAGGTAATATATTTAGGCATTGCTAAGAGTGGATGTCTATCATTCACATTTATATTCTGTGTTATAGTGAAAATAGCCAGGAAAACCAGGGCTAGATTTGTGGCAGGTCTGTGGTACACGTGGGCAAAATAGCAGGTGGCCTTGAAAATGAGAGCAAGGAATTTAAGTCCAACCCAGGAAGTGTGGAAACCTAACAAAGAATCTTAATGTTTGGTTTGTAAACATAACAATTTTATGGGTCTGAATTATTTCTCATTGTCGACTGAGGAGAGAAAGAGAGAGAGAGAAGCCAGGCTGGATTTTGTTTAGGGAATATGATACTATTAAATTCAAAACAGTGTTTGGCACAATTAACAAACTTACTTGGGAGAAAAAATTATGCCATCAAAGTTTGCAGAGAAAAATTATTAGCTTATTGGGTAGGCAACATGAATCACCAGGTAAAGATTTGAATGTCACAGTTGTTTTTTTGTTTTTTAAATATGTTTTTATTGATTTTTCAGAGAGAGAGGAAGGGAGAGGGAGAGAGAGATAGATACATCTATCGGCTGCCTCCTGCACGCTGCCCACTGGGGATCGAGCCAGCAACCTGGGCATGTGCCTGACTAGGAAGCAAACCGGCAACTTCTTGGTGTACAGGGTGACGCTCAGCCAACTGAGCCACACTGGCTGGGCAAGTGTCACAGTTTTGTTACCCTCTCTCTAGGAGATGTGGAGAAGAATCTTTAGAAAACATGAATAATAAGGATGCAGCATGTGGACTTAGATCCTGAATGGATACTCCAGAAACACGGTTTGCCTTCAAAAGGCCAAAGGAATGAGTCTAGTGTAGGAACGTTCTGTAGAGCAAGAAGCATTTGCAGTTTTGCTTCTGTGGAAATTGAGACATTCCGGGTCATAGACTTGGTGCCTAATTAAGTTTCTAACCTGGGCCATTATGATATGGTTATGATGTAGATTTAATTACATGTTTTGTTGGCAGAATATGTTAGAGGCTACTTAATTCACTTCAATGAATTAATTTACTTCAATGAATATGTATTAATTCTTTATATGCATGAGGCACTGGCAAGGTTCCTGACCTTGACTATGATAGATCTGGTGGGCCCACGAAACACCACAGGGTGCCCAGTGCCATGGGCAGTAGGCTGTGGGAGTGTGAGGAAAGTAGACAGTGTTGGCCAACTGCCCAACAACAATCTCTTCCTCCTTTCTGGTTGGCATATATGTGATTTTGCACTTGACTCAGGAAGTTCTGGAAGTTAATCCAGGCTGATCGAACCTAAGCACTGTGGTCCCATTTCTCTTCATGATTTTTATGCATAAGTGATGCAATCCTCATCACTAAATTGTGAGGGAAGCCTCTAGGAATGGGTTCTCAGCTCTTAGAGAGACTTAAGCTGATACAGCGGTGACTGTACTTGAGACCTAGGCCTGGTGGGACTCTGAGGGCATCTGAATCTTTGATGATGCTGAGCTAGACAGTGCTGGACTACCTTGTGAGGTGATCAACTCTCTGGTTTCCCAGGACTTTTCCAGCTATAGCACTAAAATTCCCTATTATACATGAGGCATTGTGCTGAGGATTTTACATATATTGTTTTCTTTCCTTCTCACAATGATTTTTTTTTAAACTTTTTATTTTGAAATAATTGTAGATTCACGTGTAGTTGTAAAAAGGAATACAGAGAGATCCATATACTCTTTACCCAGTTTCTCCCAATGGTAACATCTTGTAAGACTATAGTACAAAATCACAACCTGTATATTGACTTAATACAGTCAAATATAGAACATTCCATCACCACAAGGATCCCCATGTTGCCCTTTTATAGACACACCCACCTGCCACTCACCCATACCTCCTTCTTAACCTTTGGCAACCACTGATCTGTTCTCCATTGCTATAATTTTGCCATTTCAAGAATGTTATAGCCCTAGCCAGTTTGGCACAGTGGTTAGAGTGTGGACCTGCGGGCTGAGGGGTCCCGGCTTCATTTCTGGCCAAGGGCACATACCTCAGTTGCAGGCTTGATCCCCAGCCCCCTAGGGGCGGCAACCAATGGGTATGTCTCTCTCGTGTCTCTGTTTCTCTCT